AAAAAATTTATATCTTTATGTTTGAAGCCTGAAATGTGGCAAAAGGTTGAAAAGTTCAAGGGGGCCGAATACTTTCGCAAGGCACTGTATTATATAGTTTAATAAAGTATATAACAACCTTTCCCTCTCATGAGAAAATCATCTACTTTGTTTAGAAGATCATGCATCAGCTAAAAACAGCAACAGCTCTGGGCTTATGGACAGACAAAAAGAATAAATTCCCGTTATCCTGCATTATCGAGGAAGCACCATCATTTATGAATTGTGAGCATAATTTGTTGTCTCCTGTTAAAGTAAAAAAACTGAATTCTGTTTCTTCTAAGCCATGAAAGCCATGATCATGACTGAATGAAATTCAATATTTCTAATCCCCCTGGATCATTCAAACTCTAAATAGTGTATTAGAAAAGACTAAAACAGAAGTCTGGGTAGATTTATAGAGCACATATGCTACTGTGCTTCAGTTTAAGTATTATTACTCTCCTGATTTCTCTCCTTTCCCTGCATTAAACATGCTCTGCTGTACTATAATATATTGGACTACAATACTATCCTTACCATCTATCAGACTGATTGCTATTTGTTAAAGCATTCTTATGTGAATGTTAATAGAGTTTAACTGATAACATCGTATCAGGAATTGGCACCTTTTCATTTGTATAAGATAACCTGAGCTGAATGAGAGAATGAGGTAATTTACAATTTACAATTGTGTCAATACTGATGTACAGTGAAGACACAGTCATCTTCAATTTTACATCAATAGCTCATTGACCCTGATTGGCATCCCAAAGTAAGCTATACAGATACTGTATAGGAGAATATATACTGTAGGAGGACATATATAGGATATAAATAGGAGAAGTCCAACTTTGTCCATCACTGAATTGCCAGCACCCACCTGGGTGATGCACAATAGCCATTATGTGCCAGCAGCTCATATCTAGATGTAGAATTCTGTAGAATTCTAGATAGATGGATAAGTGAGAATCCATGTCACAAATTACATTTAAGGGGAAATTAATGTACTGTAGGCCAGATTGTGTAAACCCAGAATAGAAATTAGCCTGAACACTAAGGGGTTTTAAGCTATTACTGTTTTTAATGAAAATCTCTGGTTTTCCATGTCCTGGGAAGCAATTAAACCAGACATTGAAGTACGTAAGTGTTTCTGTACCCTCTAATTGCACCTCTGATATAAAATCCTGGATGATTCAAAATTTCCTTTATGTAAACTATGACAAGACTGAAGTCATGCTTCTCAGCACCTCAAATCAACTGTCTAAAGCCAGTGCAGTAACGTTATCTGTGTATGACACGGTACTTGAATTTCAATCAAAACTGAAAGAATATGGCAATGATATTTGTTCCAGGCTTGATCTTTGACCCACATGTGCAAAATATGGTAAAAACATAATTCTTCCATTATGTTTTTCCAAGGACAAAAAATGACAATATTTCTGTAAATACATAGAAATACTGCCATTCTATGTTGCCTTTGGCATCCTATGTTGTCTCAGAATATAGTAAAAAAGCTTGTAAACACATTATTTGTATTTCCCAGAATTGATTACTGCAATGCCCTACACATTGGGGTATCTAAATACACCAATTACTAAACAAACTTCAGTATGTCCAAACTTTGGCAGCAATAATACTGACCAGGTTGCTTGCAACTGATCATAATTTTACACAATATTCAAAATGAGATCTTACATTTATTAATTATATTCTAAGATTTTAACATCCATCTATTTAATTTCAACTTCATCTGTTTGTCCTAATATTATGACATTCTGGTTGCCTTTTTATTGCTTAGATATTTTTTTTGCCTCACACAAATGAACAAGAATGGTGAGTCCTAAATACATATTTCATTTGAAAAGCTGACATAAAAAGATGTTTTCTTTACCACAGCGCAGCATGAAACATTCTTAGTTTCACAGTTGCAACATCCTTAATAAATCAGACCTTTTAATTCTGCTTTGTTCATTTTCAAAGCTCATTAACTCTTAGATTATGTTCATCTTGGTGTTTGATCAAATAGAGGGCAAAAGACTTTTAGATATCTGTGACAGGCCATCAGCTAGTGTCCAGTTAGGAAGTTGAAGCTGTAGATAATTGATGGCTTTATGAGCTAAAATTGTGTGCAGTGCAATTTATATGGCCTTTGTTATAGTACCTCTCTAGAGAGACTGCATGGACTCTCTTAGAATGCTTTGAGTGAGAATGAAACCTGATCCTGTTAAAAATGCCTGGCGGTAAAAAATTCTTCTGACCTCATGGTGTGTACTGTAGGTGTTTGTATTTGATGCAACCTGGCATGAAGAGACACCAGTAGCTGTGTTCACCACAGCTGGAATTGCCTGAGAAGTAATATTGTAATGCAGAGCCCTTTGCTGAGTGCTGCCAATTGTATTTGTGAAAGTGAACACAGAGGGAACACAGCCGGTGAGGAAGACTGACCAGTCTTCCCCACAAAGGCAAGAAGTTGTGAGATCTAGGAGTCTGTAGGGGTTCCAACAGAAAAGGGCTTTAAGAGTGCAGCAGGGTTTATCTTCTGTCTGTTCATATTTGAGAAAGAGTGAATTAAAATGTACTGTAGATTAAAGTGTGTGAGAAAAGGGTAATGTTTTGTGAAAGACAGAACAGTGATTCCTCAGCTACAAGGAACACATAAGGGGATAAAAGTGAATGTGTAATTGTGAGGCCATAGAGAAGGAGATTCAGCTACTGTATATTTCCCCAACCCTGATGGAAGCAAGATTGGAGGGCTTAATATGGGAGGGATTATTAGTTGCTGGCTCTGGCAATGTACATTGGTGTAAAGACCATAGAGCATGAAGTGTAGCTGGAGTGACTCTGTGGAAGAAGAGTGATAGGGTTTGTCTGTCCAGAACGTGGCTCTCTGCAGGGATATTTGCGGGGGTGAGTACATGCCAGACTGAGACTCATGTTGTGTGAAAAAATAACATAGTGTTTTTATAAGTGTATTCCAGGGCTGTGTAGTATGAAAAGAAAGAAAAGAAACAGTAGAACTGGTTTGTCAGGGAGAACATCATGAAAAGACAGATCTGCAACAGACTCACCTAGTAAGATGGGGCCTGTGCAGTACAATCACTTTGTACATGCTGCACAAAAACAGGCACATAAAAATGTCTGAATCACATCCTTGCTGCATCCTTTCCAAGACAATGACAGTTTCCTTAAAGTACCCTTCAAGTACTAAAACAAAAACCTCCATATTTCTCCACAACTGTTCTCTAAATGTAGCCATTATACTCAATTCCTGCCACCCCCTGCCCTGCGCTTCTTCTACCCTGGGTGTGGAGCCCAGCAGCTCCCCTTACACTGTAGTGTCTCGGCCCGGTTCTTTTGGATCATTATGCAGAGCTGTAGCACCAGTTGGGGTGCGCTCTCCAGGAAGGTCTCCAGGAGGCGCAGCATGTTGACATCTGCATATTCATACATCATGGCCCAGTAGAAGCGTCGCTGGTGCTCTTTCTGCCTCCGGCTCTGAATGCCCAGATACATGGTACGGATATACCTGTAAACCCAAACACAAACAGAGGAGCAGAAAGCTCTGTCAGACAGAACCATGTTGCCTGAGACATCAGAAGTGTAATGATGTTACGACAGAATTAAATCAAAATCTTAACATTTTATTTTTAACAGAAAAAACTACAAATAAATTCAAAAGCACTTTCGTGTGTATATAAGAGTATACTCACCCCTCCCCAATAAAAAAACAAAATAACAATCCTACCAATAAACGATCAAGTATAAGACCATGTGTATACTGCACCATCTCCAACAGGTTGTTCCTAGACTTCAGGAACATTCTCTGGTCATTTAAACAGCAGCTTTAGCAACGTGTATCCTAGAATCTGAAAAGTTAAGGAAGGCTGGGTCTGGTCAGTACTGGGATGGGAAACCTCTTCTGCTTGTGATGCAAATGGCATTGACAGACCAGCATGTTTTCTTCTCACCTAAACTAAGCTGTATTAAAAACACTGTAGGCTTTGCGTAATTCAATGATGCTCCTAAAATAGACATCTTTAACTCCTGATTGTGAAGAAGATGTTTAAGACTTTTGTATAGCAGTGTATATCAAAATAAAAAGAGAGGTAAACTTATCTTTAGAAGCAGGGAGAGTTGTTCTGCTCTAAGTTCTGGAGCAAGACGTTCTTTTATGAACCACCACAAGGCTCAATAAACTGTACAGACCATAAAAAGATTACATATTTGGATACTAATGTATGGAGAGATCAAGGAGCCTTTTGAGGATTTTCAGGTGTTACAGTACATTTATATAAATAGCTAATGGAACTAATGCTCTATGACTCAAATGACATATGGCCTTGTATAAGATAATTGGGACAAAGATTATAGTGAGTTAAACAAATAAAGGGCTTTGAACGGCAGTAGCTGGAAGAGCAATGATTATCTGACTGTGCAATATTTCTAAAGTTTTTAACATATTTTTATTATCAACTGAGACCAGCCAGATGGCAATGTGGTGACTCAGGCTATGTCTTGGACACAGGAAGGAAATTCAAACCCTTTACAAAAATGTTTTTTACTGGAAAGAATTGTAAGATATATACAGAGCAGCTCTGAGAGCCACTTCAGTCAGTCTCTACACAGATGTGGAACAGTTCATTAGTGGATTTATAATTACCAACTACTTCCATTTCCAAATGACAATAATGCATGATTAAACTGTAATTAGCCAAGATCATTCACATATGCCAAATGGTGTCCTCTTCCAGTTCTTACTTTAGATTCCCCCAAGTGCTGGAAAGCAGTTAGCCAAATTTATCAGAAAAGATCTATGATGTGAACAGCACTATTAATACATCTGTAATTAAAAACACTTGGCTGAGCAAAGTGCAATGATACATTTATAGCTAAAGCAACAAATATCTTTTGCTTACATTGGCTTTTTTCACAGAGATCCTGGGATTTTTTCACCTATGTACTACACTAAACAATACATGATTAAAAATATTTTCCATCTTAATTCTTAAAAGAATATTTAAAGTCCCATCAAAATGCAAATATGTAAAACGAAATACCAGACTTACTGCTGACAAAAAGTGTTCCTTGAGATACAGAACAGATTCCTTGAATTTACTGACTTATGTGCACCTGACTTACATAACATTCCAGACTTGATCTATAGTTTCCTATTTAACTGTTCAGGGTGTCACAAGGAAACCTTTTCTAACGGGCGGGTATCTGGATGTGAAAGATCAAAGTGATAATGGAATCATTATATTTGTCTGATGCACAGGTACAGGGTATTGGAGTATTGGATACAAAACCTTGCTTTAATGCAAGGAAGATGTGCCTTAAAGGTCACACTGTTGTGTAGTTTCCACAGATTATTACAGCAGGGATAAAATCTGGCAACAAAATACTGCTGTTTTACTGGTAAATGAGCAAGATGTTTCCTTAAACCTCTTAAGAAATGATATTGTTGGCTGAGGCAAGGGAAAAACTAGTGATGTTTAAGTTATTTTCCTTTGACAAATGTACTGTTCAGAACAGGGAGTGAAAGGAAGCAGACAGAAAGCAAACTGTAAAGTACTTTATGTTTATATCATTCACGTTTTGAAAAACGTCATTTAAAATATTCAATGTTTAATATTCTTGATGTAATAATGAATTAATGAAACTGTACCACTGGCTGCTGTAGGTTTAACTTATTAAGAAATTTATCAGACAACTGATATAATTTGGCACCAACAGCATGTTTGTAAGACAACATTAAATTGACATTTGTAGAGCTTAACCTTAAATGGTAATACTCTTTAAAAGAGATCAAGCAAAGAGTGTATCAGTGAAAACAATTCCGATAAAAGATCCATTCAGTGTGAGGGCAAAATAACCATTTAAGATAATACAATTTCAGATTTAATTTAGTTGCAAGGTTGAATTAAATTACAGTGAAGATTCAAAGGGTAAATACAGTCTGACATGAGAACCTTTCCCCCAAAAGAGTATTTCATTTCCAAACAATGAAATCCAGCAATTAGACCATGCATAGACACATAAAACACTGAACCTGGAATACCCATTGTGTATTACAACACAAAACTATCTCACGGAAAGGTGAGATACAAATTAGTCTGCAGTTTTTTGTTTTATTTTTTCTATTTTTTAGCAAACTCCCTTATTTATATAATTATATACAGTATATACAACAAGCTGATGAAATGACAAACAATAATTGTAATCAGTAGCACTGTCAAGACATTAGTTTCAATAACCATGGTTTTATTTTCACCACTGGTTTGGCTATTTATACATTAAATGAGGCTTAAAGCCTGTCTGCCCGACTGCTGTGCTTCACAGAGCAAATGCGATTAAACAAATCTTAACTACACACCCTGTTGTGCTACTAGACACTATTTAATGCCTTCAAATGTGAGAAGAAAATGTAACAGCAATTGATATGAGATCAGTTTTATGTACAGTACATGACCACACCCCGTGCTTAAATGTATGCGATTCCATAGATGTCAGTACATACAGGGTTAAATGCCATGCATGTGTATATACTGTATATCATAGTCAGTAGTGTTGCCACCTAACCTGATCTTATCAGATCTCAGAAACTAAGAAAAGCAGGGCCTTGCTGCAGTGGTGACTGTGGACACTATAGGAGGTGCTATCCCTTAGATGAGAAGTTCAGCTCAGCTCCTGAGTACTTGGTCATTTAAGACCTCATGGCACAGTTTACCTGAATTCAGTTGTTGAAACAATTTTTCATTTCTTCACTGGATCCGCTGTACAGTGGGGTGGCTGTGGCACATAATAGCAAGTGTGCATCACCCAGGCGCATATTTCAATGGTGGATAAAGTGGGCCACTGTGGCTAAGGATCTGCGCCTGTGACTGGAAGGTTGCTGGTTCAAATCCTGCAGCTGGCAGAGGAATCCTACTCTGTTGGGCCCCTGAGCAAGGCCCTTAACCCTAACTGCTCCAGGGGTGCTGTACAATGGCAGACCCTGCGCTCTGACTCCAAGCTTCTCTCCCTGTCTGTGTCTCCATGGAGAAAAGCTGGAGTATGCGAAAAGACAAATTCCTAATGCAAGAAATTGTATAGGGCTAATAAAAAAACATTATTATTACAAACAATAATGCAATTTATTATATTGTCTAAAATATATTTATAGTGTACATGTCCATGTGTTTTCATTGTTCTTATTTCATTGAGAATTATGGGAAGAGGACTAGCGCTCATGGAAAGAGAGTGAAGGAGAGAAATATTTGCGAAGCTGCCTTACTTTTTCCTTTTTTCTTCTAGACGTGCCTAGTTTTGTCCTCAGATGACTTTTCCTTGACTAGCCCCACCTGACTCCTATACTGCAGCAGAATCAGCTGGGGCTTGTTGACAGACTCTTGCTTGAGTGTGCAAAACATCAAAGGCTGAGCTTGTATTGAACTGTGAGAAGGCTGTGATAACAAGACCACACTCAAGAGTTAAGATTTAGAAACAGGGACATCACCACTATTCATTATATTGTAAAGTAGAAAGATGATACATACAGTATATGCATACTGCATATTAGGCTTGAGTCTAGAAAATGAATACATGTACATATTTGACTAGAATGAAAGTTAGAAAGATATAGAGAAGAATTCAGATTGGTATTAGTGATAGCTGGGTAATTGATTGGTTAGGTTTAGGAATAGTGGTAAGCAAGAATAGGTTAAGAATGCTAGTAACAGATAAAACTGGCTTTAAAAAATGAGAAAGGTTTAGGGTTGGTATTCATTTTAGTTCTGATGAATGTAAGAGTAAGTTTTTAGCCTACAGCTGAAATTAATCTTAGGTTTAGCATTATATTTAAGGAGAGGGTAAGTCTGAGATCAGAATCTGATTGGACAGAAGGATTAAGTTCAGAGTTAAGGTTTGTCTTATGGTGATGGTTAGAATTAATAATGTTAGTTATAATTGGTTACTATAAAATACAGTAATCTACATGCAATAGTTAATGGAAATTGTTAAATTACTATACCACTTGGTGCTATACACTGGTTTTATGGATTTAGCACTAAAGCAAGGGAGGGATTCTTTACCCTGGAATCAATCCATATCAATATTTATAGTGCAGAGATTTATTGTATAATAAGGATGTTCAAGTGGAGAGCTTTGTTGTGAACTAGCTGCAAAGGAACAAGTACAGATTAATTCAATGTTGAAAAATAGAAAGAAGAGACACAACATTTAATCTTTAGTTCCATCTGAAAACATCTGAAGAAGTCTCTAAAGCTGAAATCTTGTGTTTCTCCTGTTTTTCAGTGTGGAATTTCTCTTCCCTTGATTATGTAACATTTCAAAGTGCGATAATAATGATACAAAGGGATTGAACCCACATATATCCAAAGCAGAGACTACAGAGATTAGCAGGCAGACTACAATATGTACCAACATCTATTGCAGAGTCACTTATGATAGGACCTTCAGTTTACAATCTGTTTAAAACATGTGGTAAGTAACTTGGATAGGATAACATTCAGTTGGGGAGTTAT